GGAGGAACAAAACGCCAGGAAGAGAGGGGGGAGGGGGCACGACCCCTTGGGGGATGACTGCATCGGTGAATCCCCGTCGGAACTGATGGGAGCATTTCAACTTAATCTTAAACAAAATTTCCCCTTCCGATGTGCATTTCTGAAAAGAAAACGAAAACTTTATTCAACGACCGTGCACTCCCAATTGCGGCTTTAAATAAAATGTTACTACATTTTGAAAACCTTTTGAGTGTCACTTGTTCCAATTTATATGACAACATTTAATGAAAAAATATTCAACAGATAAAGCCTAGAAATAGAAAAAAGAGGTCGGGTTATTTACGAAGAACAGACAAGAATAGGAAAATGAAGGCGCAAATGAAGTATTTTCAGAATGTTGACAAAGTGCGACGAACGATAAACAGTGAGAGTGTGGAATAAAAATGGAGAATATGGAAACGCTCAGAGAGGTTGGATGTTTCTTATCGAATAAAACATTCAATTCGGAAATTTCTCAAACATTCACTCAAATACTTTTGCATCGATCATCTGCGCGCACCATTCTCCCTCGCTTCGGATCCTCCATTGCGCTCTAGTTAGCATTGCAATGAAGTACATCAGCGGGCACTGCTATACCCCTACGGACATTACAGACTATCGGAAAGGAAGCCATTTTCTCTTTTGGGGCATAATATTTAAAACTGCATCTAGGGGAGAATATTATGTAAAGGTTCGCAATTGTTGGAGAATCCCTGCGTGTAGCAAAGTGGACGAGGGGGGACCCTGACAAAAAATTCGGGGAGAAAATTGCCCGGGAGATAACAACAGTACTGCAAAAGTGAGCAACGTTGGTGATGAACAAGTGACAATAAATCGTTCAAAAAATAATAGTATTGCAACGACGAACCTGTTCTTCAACACCAGCTTTAGCATACCGTAGTTGCTCCATAGTTATCGACTCAATTTCAGATGATAATAAATGATTCTTAGGTAATGTTAATATACCAGATGGTGATATTTTTGAGCGCTTATCATCACAATTATCAACAGACGGTGTTGTCAGTTGCTTGTTTGTACAGTCCTTATCCTAGAAGGAATTGTTTTATTGGATGATTAAGTTACAACCATTCATGAGTTGAATCTATCCACATCAACATTTTCAACGTCGTGCATAATTTTTTTACACCTGTTGGGTGCACGATTCAACTCAGCGATAGACATTGAGATGCTTCAAGTATTCAAATCAGCTGAAAGGCATTGGCTCATTCATAATATATTGCATAAAGAATGTGACTATACAAATCCGAAACAGCAAATCAATGACAACAATTGGTATGCAACGGTGTGAGTGGTACATTTGATAACATCATCACCATAAACTCGTTAAGTCGAAAATCAACCAAATGAACTCTCGAACAAATGCGTTAACGTTTTTCGAATGCAAACTTCAATTGAGAATGAAGAAGATAACAGAGTGGATGACAACTCCAATCGATCAAATGAATACAACTTGAAAAGGATACTTACAGATTTCATATCCAACGACACATCTCTAGCGTCATGCCAATCCTGCTCATCGTCACTAACAACGTTACCAACAGCCTGCAGATATTCATCGCATGCACAAATCTGCTTTGTATACTAATTAAAACAAATTCTGAGAAGAGAAAACAAATAAATGAAAATAAGACATGACCGTAATACTGTACCGCTATTCAGCATTACTTTGATAGGCACTTACAATAACAGACTGATAAACCACTGACCTCGGTGCTGCCATCGAAATGACTTGATGACAAAGCGCACTCGTCCACGTTCACTTCCGATATTGCTCCAAGCACAACTTTATCTAATATCTTCAAAATGGATAGCTTGAACAGCAAACATCGCTTTGCAAATATTTTTTTGAGACAAGTAAGAAGAAATAGAGGAAATTGTAGGGGAAGAATTATCTGACCCTTGAATGGCAATCGGAGAAAAATGGTAACAAAACCATCCAAAATGCTCTTTTTGGTAATTTGGTTATTTCAACTTTATGCAAAAAACAAATAAAATAAGAAAATGAAGCAAATGAGATGCGATAAATGACTGTGAGTGTAATCTACTAGGAATTATAAGTGCTGAATATTCAATAAGACATAATGATTGCATCAAATAAAAGCACGAGAAATAACCTGTGTATTTATCAGATTGATACATACATTAATGTCATTGATAATAGCTGACGTTGTTGCATTAAAGGCTAGACCATCATCCCGGATCAACTCTTCACTAGTCTGATCAGCATTTGTATCCGTATTCGGTGACGATTCACATTTCATTACCGATTCATTAATGCGGTGCTCAATGCGCTTTCGTTGCCTCGCTGCCAAGTCACGATAGTCTTCCAGTTTACGAACGCGTTCTTTCAATTCTGTCTTCAATCATAATACAACATTACCATGCATCACTTCATTTCTAAGATGTAATAACAATTTCACCGTTATCCGATGAACATAAATATGCCGAAATGAATGAAGAACAACTAACAACTGTAGAACATATTCTCAATGAAGATGATGTTGAGCAGGCAGATGCATTACTTATACGATCGCTGACACTGCAATAACCCGATTCTCTCTATAAAGAGAGCATAAAATATGATTACTTTAAATATGAGACTGAAACTTGCTCTGTCGATCAGAAGTCTCACTCAGTTTGGAATGTATCAATCTAACACCTATTTATTCTTCAAGTTAGTAGAACAGTGAAACAAACGAAATGATTCAATTAATTTTGAATATGCAAATGATGATCTTATAAATGAAGTGTGATATGGTAATTAATGTAAGTTTGATATCGTTTTTGAAGTGAAACGAATAAATGGCAATTTACCGCATACAAATTGAGTGCATTCAACCAAACATTTTTTGCGTTCCTATTCTCTGCTCTTAAATACCAAATAACACCATTCGTTGCTATATCAAACCGACACAGATCCACTTCATTATCCTGAATATTACCATCGATATTCAAATGCAGTACTGCCTTCTAACGATATAAATAATAATTTCCAGACTGTCTTCTTTTGGATCGTTGCTGAAGGTTTTCAGTGCATCAAGTGAAAGCTTTGGATATACACTTACCAACCGCACGTTCCCTAGAGGAGCGCGCGATATGCTCAGGCGTGAAAGGACAGCAGTTCCAATCCGCATGGTGAAAAGTTTTTTTTTCTCATGGCTGACGCCGAAAAGAAAATATGGTTAAGGTTAACGCGTACAATTAAGCCCAACCTGATGTTGATACTTAGGACTAGGCTGAGAACAATGCTTGGGCTTATGTTGAAGTTCATCTCAAAACCGTGTTCGAACCTCAGGTAACGCTGTGAAGAGATCTTTTTGGAACCATGAGAATTAAACGAGGTTTGCATAAGAAATGTTTCCAATAATACGGTAATATGGATACGGTAAGGCCTGGATGAAGACACTCCTCAGCACGGGTGAAGACAGTCTGGAGATTACTTCTTGTACCGGCATTCACTAATTGTGTTGCGCGAACTACAACAGTTCAAGTGAATGATCCAATAGTTTATCCAACTACATTACGAACCGCAATAAGAGCACACTGAATCGTAATTGAGCCTCGACTGCCGAACTGTTTTTCAGTTTTGTTTTTGTAATAAACCAGAACACCATCTTCCAATTCGAAATACCTTGGTTGCCAACCCAATACATAATTTGTCCATTTGTACAGAATTCCTGAGATGCGTGATCTGAAAATATACAAAAAACAATCGAATCAGCTACTTTATTCATTCCCAGTAATTGAATATAAAAACTGGATAAAACTCAAAACAAATATGAGTGAAAATAACTCACTCATTAAAAATGGGAATAGAAGTTCGATTTTCTTCAGCATCTTTTAGCGACGAAGATGGTGTAAAAAGGATGTCATCCGCTACCAAATCATCCATGCTCAAAAAAAACACTAAAAAAGACAAAATAAATGAAGCCGTGAATCGTGCTATAAAAAGGCACAAGATTATTCTGACACGAACGATTCGATAATAATACGATACATTAAAAGAAGCCATTAATTAAGCGAATGTTTGAGTAATCCAATAAGGATGCCTAAATACCTTGACTACACCACATGGGAAACCTGTTTAGAACACGACTATTCACGACGATCACATAACAACAAACCATATTCATATGGTTTCAGAAAAGTCGGGAGAGGTTACTATAACATACTAAATTTATCTGTTATGAATGGCAGAACCTGGTTATTCTACGGTTGATGACAAATAATTTCAGCAACTTAAAACAGTTCAGATTGCTGAAATCAAGACGGCATTTCGTTGGTACACATTTTCAGAGCAATTGAAGTCTGATGGAACATATCAAATTCTAAAAATAAGAAAATAACATTTACCAAACCGTATACGCAACATTAGCAAATCGAATCGTAGTTGATAATGTCACTAGCTGATATTCATGCGATTATAATTAAAACTTAATGTAGTTATTATAAACTACGA